AGTATTAAGTATATTACTGTTAAAAACAAGTTGTTGTAAAATCTTAATTTTATAGAAAAAGTTTAATAAAATTTAGAGATTTAATATAAGCAGTCGAGGTAGGAGTTAATCCCTGAGTAATTTAAAGTTTTCGCTATATTTTAATATACCCGCAGCAGAGAGTCGCGGATTACGGAGGTGCATCAACACTTTGTTGTTCATTTTAAACGAAATACGAAGATAATCCAATATAATGGAAACCGCAAGACGATTGATATCGCAAAGTTTTCGCGAGCAGCGGACCGCGAGCTATGACTTCAAATGAAATTATTATTCCTGGTCTTTATTCAGACTGAATGGATCGCGATTTAAATAGACAACGTTTGTAACGTTAGTCTATCAGAAAACCAATTTAGTAAGTTGCTCCTCCGTGGGAGACAGGATCAAAACACTCGCAACACACTGTCAAACCCGAAGGGATTTAAAGTTGGTTCTAATTCATAGAATATTAACAGGCGGATGAGGCAATCGGGTGATTGGACCAATTCCCTTTTATAGTCCCCCTCTAGTGATTCTAGCTTATAATGATTTAAGCGCCAGCCACACGAGCCAGGTTGGATAAAAAAATGCAAATTGCGACCTGTTACCTGAGTTCTGACTTCGACAGCTTTGTAATTTGAATCGCCTTCATTTTTAGTGCGCGTGCCGGCTTAATTAAAACTCCTGTTGGATTCATTTTTAAAGCGCGTGTTGGAGAACTACTCGACTACGAATGCAATGTTAGAAACAATTACTTTGCTGACAGCTCAATTAGGAAGATCATTTCGAACTAGTATCGGTACGCGACTAAATGTCGTTCCTATTTTCCGATGGAGTTTACAGGTAGTAGTGTCGTGGGAGCGGGGCGAGCTGAGTGCTTCCAGGAACATGTGTAGAAAATTAATTTTGCAGAATTATTAATTTTAATACATTTTTACGATACAAAGTAAAGTTTATAATGACGTGTACGGGCGCTGGTCAGCACGTCAGAAACAGGGCTCACTGTGTACAGATGTTTCGTACTTAACAAACTTTAAATAAATACTCTTTGTTAGCGCTCTCTGTTCTTTCTCATCATAAAACACTTTCTGCGGCCTCAAAGAGAAAATTCTTGTACGATCAGTTTTCACGTCAGTAAAGGGTCAGTGGGTCATCTTTGTCTCGAGTAGTGATAATATTGCTAAAGCTTAATGAAGCTTAATGAAGCAAAAGTAGGTCATTTCGATATGACATAATTACTGAGAAACTACTGACGAGCGGAAATCATTAAAAAAAATAAATACTTAGTACAGAATACTGAATTACCTATTTCCTGCATGTTCCTTGAGGTACTTACAGGAATCATAGCGTGGGACTTGTGTCGTGTGTCAAACCTACACGAGCAGTTGGAAATCTTAGATAAAGAGATGTTTATAAGCCGTACGTACGAGAAAGATCTGTGCAGTTTGCCGTATCAAAGGCATCGCAGATGAATACGTTTGCCGCGCAAGTGAGCCTCGCTCCTCCGCGCCTCGCGGCTCGCGCCCTCGCCTCCCACACTAACGGGCCTTGCACTTGTAATTGTAAATATATCCTACTTAGGTATGTGACATTTCACATTTTCTACATTTTACTATCAGAAATGTTATACAATAAAATAGCATGAAAATGATTTCGTGCTCCAGCTCTGACATTAGAACCTGATTTAGTTTTCTTGAACGCAATAATCTCTAGTAGGTAAGTACTTGGTTTGAACAATATTTCCTCAGAGTGTCGGGTATTAGTTTCTAACAATAAATTTCCATTTAGCTCGTCACTTATCCTGGTGGTAATGTAATTATTTTTCGGTCACAAGCACACTCCATGCACGTCACCAGTAATTATGTGAAACACGCGAACTTTCCATCAAGTGGCAGGTGCCGTGGTGGACCCTCAGCGGGCCGCGGCTGAGAGACAGAGAACACGGCACCGCTCCGAGCTGCCGTGCCACTGTTGTTATTGCTAACTACCCTCACTTAATTTTATGGACATTTTATACAACTTGTGTTGAACGCGGTTTATAGCGCTTTTAAAAGCCGATATTATGCAATCGTATTTATTTTGTTAAGCACAAAATATAGTTTGGCAAAAGTTGAAACTGAGGGATATGTAGAAATTGTTGAACCGTGTCGATGTAGCCGAAGCGACACCCGCAACCGGACAGCGGCCGGCAGCTACCGGCGTGTACAGGCTGGATTGTACCCAAACCAAATCCTTGCCAACACATTGCGAGCCGCGGAGAATGGACCTACATCCATTCTCCACGTTTCGCCAAAATATCTAACTGCAACTGTACCATGAATTTGTAGTTGAAGCAATTTGTGAAAATATGTTGCTTTTACAACACGAATTTCATTTTATGACTTATTTTTACTGATTCTCCGATTGGAATAAAAGGTTGGAAAAATACTGTTTGGTATTACAATCAATATCAGAAACTATTCGATTGCAATGTACGGCACATAGGTCTGGTATATGAAAATGGGCGCAAAGAATTGCCTCAAGTGCAGGTTGTAATTATAACGATCCCGTCACCCAAAATAATAATTATGATCGCATTATTATTGCATTTATTAAACTAAAACTCAGCCGTCTAATAGCTTGTTACAGTTTACTGAATCAACAATAAACTAAAGTTAATTGTAAAGAAAAAAAAATATAACAATGATAGTTTTTTCTAGCGTTTGTTTAGATAGAAACATAATGATGACTTCATTACTCATTACACGTGGACCGGCAGAACATATTTACTGCCCTTTGTGCTATTAAAGTTTCTACGAAGAAGTACTTAATTCCACGGTCGAGATCATTTTTATGATGTACTTGTAAATGCCAAAAGTTTAACAAGACTTGAAATATTATTTAATGTAGGCTGTTTAGTGAACTACTTCTAGGTCTTTTATCATTTGGAAACAGTATTTAATGTCGTTAAAGCAAAGTTAATTAAAAAGGTACAAGTTTAGTAACTGTTAAGTTCGCCACAACTCCGACACTCGAAGTGAATTTCTTTCAAAGTTGTCACGAAAGTGAATGTATTACATGTACACACAAATTTCAACTTTATCCTTTTTATAACAAAGTGTAGAGTTACGGTTTAGTGTAGCTTGATGTGCTTTTATTAAGTTTAAACTCACATTGTGATTTATGTTCAATCGCCACATTATACCCTGATTTTGAGATGAGAGTTCATCTCTCAGGTGTAAATTAGGAAGAATGTTCATCCACCCAAAGATCCAGTGCTAATAAACTAGCTAGTCAAAACAAATGAGGCTATTGTACTAGCTCAGCATCTAACTGAGAACTTCTCTTTATGTTTAAGATGTAAAAGCGTGCTTGTAAATAGCTTATAGTAAAGTATGTTGGTTGTCTTTGAGTCTGTACTGCAAAGGTAATACGGTTTGTATCAGCCGGGGGGGCTCCCGGGACCTGAACCTTTTCAGAATGAGATCCAAATGATAGTAACTTCGTATTCACTCAAAGCAGTCACAATACAAGCTACACGACAGAAGTTACCGGGTTTAGTTTGATACTCTTCTGTGGTAAACCACATGGTAAACTACAGAAGTACGGTAAGATACTGAAAATTGTTAGATATACGGAGATGCTCCACATGGTGTAACTAGGTGTATCTAACAATATAACTCCAGACGTCATACTGCAGCTGCATACTCCTTAAACAGAGTACACAAATTAAGCAGTACGTACTTTACCCACCTGTTGTTCCGGAAATCGTTTCAAGTAGCAAAAGTGGCAGTGATAACACAAATTGCATACAACATAACATTCGCAGGTGTCGTCGGGTGTCGGGTGTTAGCGCACACATTCCTTACACGCGGGCGCTTTAAGGAGATTTATTCCGTGAACTGCGCAAATTGGAAAATTATACTGCGCTCCAACTGCAAACGGAATAAAGCTGGATCCGAATATTCCGTGTTCCTCTTTGAAGGCACGACTTTAGTTCACAAGTCTAACGATGCAAAATGGATGTAACACGAACGTTTCTTTGTAAAGTGCTATATTTACTAGGCATCTGGGAATTCGAGAAGCGAGCTCTCATCCCCCGACCTTGAAGTACGCACCACTTTAAAGTTGTCACGAGGCAGCGAGGGGTACGAAGTTTAACAAGCAGTCGCCGGGAATATCACGAACGGATTATATCAGATATATTTCGACTTACAATTCATGCACCGCATACCGCGGCTCGTTGCGTTAATTCGATTTGAGAAAATGTCTAAATCGATTCATTTCCGTCTACAGCTTCACATTGATCTAGCACGAAGAAGAAGTGAAAGGCAGAAGCACTATTTTACCTCATATGGCTTTATCTGTATGGGCCTCATTCGTCGGTACAGTGGCCTGGATATTTTGGTAGGGTGACAGGTAATGTAACACAACATTGATCTCTTTGAAGGAGCCGGCCGCAACTAATTGTATCAATCAATTGTTTAACGGGAACTTCCGCAGCTTGAGTGCTTCCTTGTTAAACAAACGACACATCGGAATCTAGTCACTATCATCTACTCAGTAAAGACTAGAGTCCTCCAACAGAGACAGTTGCCACGTGAAAACTTGCTACGTAACATACATATGTTAGATAAAAACCTGATTTAGATTTTTATTTCCTGCGGAAAATTGAAGGTATTTCCTAAATCTGAGCATTCTGTGACGTATGTGACTTTACAGACTTTTTAGGGATGTCGAAGCAGGAGACCAAGGAATGTTCTTATTTATAACAGACACAAAGTTGTTTTGATTTTATAAATGTTAATTTTAGTTTGAGTAGAGTTTAAATTGTCAACACCACTTTAAGTGAAAATTAAAGCTGTAACTGAAGCTGTAGAAAGAAAGAGAAAGAAATATAGATCCTGCAGAACGTCTAACTCGACCCCACTTAGTTCTCAAATATAAGGTTGAACCTGCTTGTAGATTCATTCCCACTGAACGACTAACGATAACTGGATAATTTAATTATTGAGATCCAACAAAAAGATTACCTCAACTGACAATACACCATCCGCCATATTTCGAATAAAACAAGATTGTTCAATAAAATAAAAGTCTGACATGATTTTAATCCCCCGCCGTATTCCCGGAGTGAGACACCGCCACCTCGTTTCATATTGGTAGCGGCGACAGGTAGACAGACAGACAGACAGACTGCAGCCACCAAATAAAAAGAAATGTCCCAGCCCCGGGCCGCGGCTCATTTCTAATATAAAGCCAGCTTCGCCGGCGAATGGGCTTAATCGCGCCATCCGAACCGAACACCGGCTTTACTTAATACCGAACTCTTCAATATGTCACCTGTCTCCCACGACAACCACATTGATGAAAAATTCCAATGCAATGTTCAATAGGAACTATTGGACTTTTATACTTTTTATAGATTAACAATAAGTACTCAATCACTGAAAGTTTTCTACTAGAATAACGTTTTCCATTCAGTCGACGGCAGCCGCTGAACTTGTGAAATTACTTAAAGAATGGAGAGAAGGAATTGTTATAAGTTCTAAAGGTACACTCGTGGAGCTTTGCCTTTAAGACCTAAGTTAAAGTTAATTTGAAACTAGTCATATGCAGGAGTTCAGTACGTAATCCTGTCCTGTATAATATAAAAGTAATTTGATATCACTGGTAATAACCACATGCTTTTTTCCCCGAAGGGGTAGGCAGAGGTGCACATTACGGCGACTAAATGCCACCAATTTACTATTTATGTTATGAGTCCCATGTAATAGGGGTGAGCCTATTGCCATATACCAGGCACAATTACAAACTCCTTGCTGCAACTAAGATTTTTTTATATACCAAACAACTTTGCCCGACCCGGCAATCGAACCCGAGAACACTTGAACAATACTCGCACTTGCGACCACTCTGGATGAACACACGTTAAGAATATAGTATGAACTCGATTATACGTATGGCTATATATGACATGTGTAACTTAGTGCACTCGCCTAATGATGTTACGAACAAACATCACTCAAATTGAACCACTGTCCATTGATGGCCGATGCTTCAATATCATCAATCATAGTAAATTGAAATACACATTCATAGTCTAATACTGCATAAACACCAAAGACTAATCAATTTAAAACTGTGCAGGGAACTTCATAAAACTAAAAGCATCAATCTATGATATTAAAAAAATGTTAATAAATTAATTGCAATGTGGGTAGCATTACTAGTAAATTAGAGAAATATCTTCAAGAGGTGGGAGGAACCATTACACCTCCTCGACTCAACATCCCCTTGTGAGGTTCTCAACCGGTTCATTTTTATTTTACACACGACCAGTTTTAATAACCTGTATCCGTAATTAATTGCTGGAGTTGAATAATACATCCACAGAAACCGAGTTTTATTGGAATTTATTAAAAATTTGAATAAAACCCGGTTTCTGTAAGCACTTTCATAATTACTAACTCGCGAACAAGGAGGAGGAAATTAATATTATAACAACGGTTTAATACAGCATAATGTGAAAAATAGAGAAAGAAGAGATCACGGTGCACGGAGTAATACTGCGCCGAGTTCAATAATCCAATATCGATAGTACATTTTGAATATAAATGCAGTGTGGTATAATATTCAGGCGCTATTCAGCGTAATGTTATTAATACGAAGCCACTGACTTACGAGTCGCTAGCAGTTAATCCGTTTATTAGATCCACTGAGCAGTTACTTCACTATCAGTTCGACATTATTATAATGTTCGAGTACTGAATGTTTAAAATTCTCGTCTAGTGTTTGCTCCGGAAGTGATGTAACGTACCACAAATATAATGTATCGGAGCCTATAAATATCTAATACGAGTGCGAAAGCGTGTCTGTCTGTTTCTGTTTCATTACTCTACTACTACAGAGTACGGAGCACTTGAAGTATGTATTGATGTTTCTATCGAGGGAGTAAACCGTGCTGGGGAATTCAGCAGTTTATCGGTTTTGTGAAGTACTCAGTAAACTGGGAATATTTGCGGTTAGCTTTCATTAACGTAGGTATTGCTAAGGTGGTTGTCCACGAGGGAGTAGGCTGGATGGATATGTTCACTGCTCACCAGTATAGTTCTCAATACCTATACAAAAACAAATATCTACTGAAAATATAAGTAAACTAAAACACCTTCCTCACTCAGTTGCACTTGCGACAAACGAATGCAATGGGGAAATTACACTAATGTGAGGGATTTACAATCATTGGCTGAACAAAACGTTCACAGATCAGACAGCAATTATGAATTTCGACATTAATCTTTATTATTTGTTTTAGCGACGAGTGTATCGTCACTCGGCTGGATATTAGTGTATTGTTCGCAATCTGTCGCGTGTCACTTGTGATGGCTCGCGCTGTGACACAATGGCCGCCGTGGGAAGTTACAGCTGAGGCATTATAAAAACTGCTGAGCCCTCCGTGTTCTATAACACTGTCACCTGCTTGTACCCGTAATCATAAGTTTCTTTGTTGTTGTGCGGGGCCGACAATCAATAACTATTTCTGACATAAACTGCTAATCATAACTTTCAGTTTATATTTATAACATCTTTCTTTTAGATGTCTAGACAAAACATGATTCCTACGCTTGTTTCCAAACAAGGACGTGGGCTGCTGCTTACAGGCCACTTTTGTTGATAGTTACATGATTCGTGTTTTGACGTAAGAGACAAGGTTGTCACTAATTTTGGAGATCTAGCTATGATTACCAGATGACGTAAAACAACACTAGATCAAATTAACAAAAAGGTAAAGAAATAATTACTTGATTTTTATTTCTTATTATTAGGAGTTCAATGTTTATTCAGTTGCAGTGTGCAGTGTGTGCTAGTGTTTACAGATATATAGAGAGCCAATTATACTGGAGTGCATGTGTTCACCCGCAACGATTTTTCGACTTGCAGATAAGGAAAGGATTATTCCAGAAATAGGAAAATATTGAATGCAAACGGTTCTGAATGTTTGAATATCTGTTCTCGAGGTACACCGCAAGCTGCTTACCTTCCTACTCGATACTCGAGAGATTCCTTGAGCCAGGAGTACACAATATGGCTGCAACTTTTATAAATAATCCTTTATGGATAACCGTTAATCGTCGTGTTACCAACATCTACTGCCTAATAGTAAAATATTTATTTCCATTTCAGGCGAGGATTGTATTTTCCCAGACAATATTTTTGCATTCTGATGTTCAGGTTAATATTAATAGGTTTTAATAATCTCTGCGAATATTGTCGCATTGTGTCGAATCTGTCAGACAACGCCCAGGGCATTAATCCACCTGTACATACTTGGTTTTTTTTGTACTGAATTAAACCAAAATATAATCATTTTGAAGGAGCGCTTTCTGTAGCTGGTTTCATATAGGTAATGCTGACCTATATAAATCGTAGCTGTATTGCTATACAGCTACGATTTGCATTTCCTTTATAATCCCATATCAGAAGCACTCGAGCCGATATACATATATTATGTCCGTACACAATGTCATACTGAGAACCTCGCAAACGCAACATTTCTTACTATTCCGAGTGCACAGATACTTGGTCAATATCGAAATCCTGAGAAATATCGAAGTATTTTATGAGATATGTACAGAACGTCACAATTAAGTGAGTAAGTAGGTATATGAAGCTACGTCTGTAAACTCGATCACACCTCGCTATCTATGGAGATGGAAAATTCTTCACGACGACGTAGCGTCGTGTCGTCGCCGCCGCGGTGTAGACGGACAGTTCTTTATTATATATCTATGGGTAGTTTACAATACAGTGCATCTATATTATAGTTTTCATTGTCTAAACTTCATGTAGATTAAATAAATAAGTTTCCATTTAATTAATCCATGCATGTGTATTTGGGCTCGCTGTCATTTCAGCGACATGTGCGCGCGCCTCAAGGAGCCATCAGACCACCACAGATGGGGCCCAACAGGGCTGACGCCGATACGGAGCCGCGGAAAAGACTTAACGGTTTACCGGGGCTCCGGCTCGAAGTGCAGGAGTAGGAACGGGGTCGTTTTTAGTCAGTAAGAGTCTGACACTCCCTCTCGCCTCACCCTTGCGGGAGAAGTCATTCGATGATCTTCCGACCTCAAACAAAAAAGCATGTATATGGTGTTATGCAAATAGTCCTGTTTTTCATGAACTTCGATCTCTTAAATTTATATATGTTATTGTTTTATCAACTATCTGCTTGCGAAGGCTGACATAATAGAGCATGTTCTCTCCGTCTAGTGACTGGTCTATGTGGCAGTGCGTGTAGAGTGAAGTTGTCGCCTCAGTTTGTAGTACAAAATGTAGGCGGTAACTTTTAATTAATACGATATTTAGTTGAGCGCAACGCCACGGCGCGGCGGCGCGACGTGTGGACGCTCCAACTCCAAGGAACCCCGCAGTAGATGCTAACAAGAACACTTTCGCTAGTACACTGGTACCGTGCTAGTACTATACCGCACCGTTTCAATCGCCTAGCTCGGCTTTACGAGCAGTTAACATGGGGGTTAGTTAGAAAAGTTAGTTTGTAATTGTCTATTACACTAACAGTGGAAACGTAAAACAAAATTTAACACCTCGTTTGCAGAGCGTGGTACATTTTGTTTGTATCACTTATGTTAGGAGCCAATTTAACTAGTTAGACGAGGACAGAACCATAACCAGTATGGTGAAAGTTAAGAATCTGAACATACTGAGCACAACCAGGCCAAGAGTTTAGCCACACTTTAACAAACAAAAAAGACGACAAAACATTCAAAATGTGCAACGCACCGAACGCCTCAAGAATACACCGCCTTCACAATAACATATTATATTTGACCTCCACACACACACACACAAACACACACATACATATACATGAATGCTGTGAAAGCGTTATAAGGAATGTTAGAAGAATTCCCTTGAAGCAAACTGACACAATGTGACGTATTATATTTTTATGGTCAAGGAAAGCTTTCAGACTTTGATATTTTCTCGCAACAATACGCTTACGGCGCGGAGCTATCAACTTCAGTAATACAACAATCGCGGGTACGACTTCAAACCATATTCAATAAATCCTAAAGACACGAGCACTGAGCCGTCGAACAAAGGGAATGCAATTCCTATTCCCCTGTGTCACAATACAAGCTGTGTTTTGCATAGAAATCGGAGCTGAGCGCAAGTGATACTCCGCGGCCCGCTCGGAGCACCGCGCGGCAAATGCCACAGGCCGCACTGTAATAAATCCGCGCAACAATTTCGACAAGATACAACATGT